CTTGTGCCATGCGTGCGCGGGTCTGGGTGACTTGAGCTTTCGCTGCATTCGGCCTTTAGTGGCTCGGAACCCGCTTTGCGGCCTAAGTATAGACTGTATATACTAAATGACTACGTGGGCACAGCGTTTAGGGTGAGGGGTCTAGGGCCTAGGGTCCAGGGTTCAGCATATGCATGGTTTGGGGTTGCCCGCTCCATGAATCTTGCCTTCCGGAGCTGAGCATGGGTCCGTCTTCCCTAGCTTACGGTTTCGTGTCTAGGGTTTAGGGTTTCCAACATGGTAGACTCGAAACTTCTCCCAAGGGTCCAAGTACCCAACAATCATATACTCTTCAAAACCCTATCCTACATAACTACTATCCTAAGACCGAGTACCTCATTATCGGGTGCTTTGGACCCTTGGGGCTTTACATCCCGAGGCACTCAACCAAACACTCCCTGGTCCTTAGTAGGGAATGGGGGAATGTCCCCCATTCCCTACTAAGAGCCAGACAGAACATTTAGATGCAAAACCTCGACTGTTAAGTCCAAGAAGGACTCCAAACCCACCCAACATCCTAAAAATCAGCCATTGTTAGCTACTTACTTGGGGTCGTATATGGCTACTTGCTACTTGGGGCCTGACGGATACTGCTCGAAGCTTTAGACCTAGGTGGGTTTAGATATGAGGTCAGATTAGATGACAAGAATTTTTCCTGAAACTGGTGCGGTTTCAGAGTTTCGAACTGTGAACGCTGATTCACTAGATCTGGATCCTGCGCGGGGCATTCGTCTGTGGAGGCCGTCGAGCAACTACCCTCTTGTGAAACTCCTCTCGTTTCGCACGCGCAGGAAACTCGCGCAAGTTTTGTGTACACGAGCTGCATAAGGTGGCCGCCGATGCCGTTCCAATGTGCCAACCCACAACCCCGCATCCAAAACGACTTTCCGACGAAGCAATGGGTTACCACACAATCGCATCTGAAGCGTTTATGAACATACTTACATATATATATATATATATATATATATATATATATATATTACGAACATAATATTTATATCTATCTATAGTATATATATAAATGTGTACATACACATGTATATAATATACACAGACACATTGGGTTATGTCAGTGCCTAGTTCTATAGCAAACATGTGGGGGGGATGGAAGTCAACTATAGACTACCCAGAGGCTCCATAGTAGTTCCTTTTTGGGATTACCTTACAGGATTCTATATATGAACCCCAAAAAGGAACTACTTTGGAGCCTTAGGGTATATACGATCTAAGCCACTTGCGTTACACCCCTGTGTAACCTAAACCCTAGGCCCTCATACCCTAAACCCCGAATTCTTAAGCACTACCCACCCCCCCACCCCCCACCCTCGCCAAGGCCCAAAACCTAAATTATTGGAGGCGGATCTTTGCTTTGAAGAACGTCGGGGCTGCTTGTACCTAAATGCCGAGCCGGTATCATGCTTCAGCCCGTTCGGATCGACCCGTAGCTTGATGCGAAAAACAAGACTACACACCCCACACCCTACCAGCCCCCCCAAGTACCCTCTATATAATATACCCAGAGACCCACTATTACGGGAATCTAGACCCCCCAAACTACCCTCTAATATACCCCAACTACTTACTATTAAGGGCCATAAGGACTCCCTAATATACCCCAACTACTTACTATTAAGGGCCATAAGGACTCCATTAAAGGGCTCTTGGGGTCCCACTAAACCGTCGCATTTGGCAATGTCAGACTGCCGGATTGAATGGGCTCCTTTCTTTTTCGGGGGAGTCTAGGGTTTAGGGTTTAAGGGGTTAGGGTTTAGGGGTTTCGAGGTTTAGGGGTCTAGGGGTTTACGGGTTAGGGTTTAGGGGTTTAGGGGTTGGGGTTTAGGGTTTAGGCTTCACTTGAGAATCCGAAACTTTGCAGTTTAAAGGGCTCTACCCTGCAATTCAGGGGTGGTAACCTACTCTACATTTTGTTAGGCTTGGGAGGAAGTGGGTCAGTCTCGGAAGTCGAAAACCCTCCGGGCTTTCTGTTGCTTTCGGCGGCGCACCCTAAGAGTCCATGGTACATACTTTGGCCTTGAAGTACCTATGAACCCCTGCGAGGCCTAAGCGTACAGTGTGGGGCTCCATGGACCCTAAGGGGCAGCGAAACGAGACTGTGCGCTGATCATCTGATCCCAAGTTCAGGTATCAGAAATGCTCTGGGGCTGGCAGTCAAAAATATAACGCTGCGGGTCCAAAGGACCCAAGATAGTACTGCGAGTGTAAGCTTAAGCCAGCAACTTCTTGTGGGGTGGGGGGGGGTATATGGTATATGCTTGCCTGGTACTTGAGCCCTTCAACAAAAACAAAGGGACCCAGGAAACATGTGAACAACAAGGATAGGTCGTGATCTCGGCTAAACGTCTCTTGAAGCCAGCGGAGTCGGGCGAACAAGGTTATCAGTATGTGAATTTGTGAATCCTGATACAGTCAGGACTTAGTTGCTGAGTTCATAAGCCCCGACAAGTGTGCACTTTAGTTTTATAGTGGGTAATATGATCACAAAAAGTGTAAAGTGTATCCACTCAGCTACTAAGACGAGAAGGTTCCTTAGGTTAAGTTTGCTTTTTCTTCGGTGATTACGCTTTATCGCCACAGGGCTGAGGGTTTGGGGATTTCAAGGCCTCAGCCAGGGTTCTAGCAGGACTGCCTTTGACGGTGGTGCCTTCACTACCGACATTACACTACTTGGAGGGTCGGGGGACTTAGTAAGTAGGTAGTAAGTAGACTTATAAGTACCCTGAAAGGGACCCTAATTGGGGTTATGGTACTTATAAGTCCCTAAAATAACCAGTTACTAAGTCCCCCGACCCTCCAAGTAAGGTCTTTGGGTCCGTGTGAGAGCTTATGCTTTGGAAAAGCCCTGGAATGCTTAAGACACCAGGGGTTCCCGGTGCAAACAGTGGGGTCAGATCTGGTGCAAAGGCCGGGGTAAGATTTGGGCCTGGCCGGTGCAAGATTTGGCCCTGATCGGTGTAAGATTGGGGTGTTGCTCGCGGAGCAATTCTTGATGCCAAGATAGGTACAGACACAGCAAAGCTTCAACACAAACAGCGTCGGCGACACGTGGCAATTGAGCCCTGATTTTACTCCAACGCATCTTGTGCATCGCTGGAAGGATCGTCACTCTGATCAGATGGCATTGTCATTGAATCCTCGCTGTCTCGTTCCGCAATATCTAGCTGGAGCTCGGAGCGCAAATTTGTAACCAGCAAAACCTCAGCATGAAGCTTCAATGTGACCGTGACCCCTGTTCTGTACAGTGTGAACTGCGGCGCCGCAGATGGTATCAGCAGTGGGAGAAACTGAAATTTGGCCAAGCGTCGGCGCAAATGCAGGCCCCGATCATGGGCACGCTCATAGCATTGCCTGGAAATATCAGCCAATTGTAGTTAATAGTAGCAGCGGCTGTAGCAGCAGTAACACAGTAGGAGTAGGAGTAGGAGTCGGAGTGCGGGAGTGGGGGAGTTGGGGAGTGGGGAAGTCGGACTGTGGGAGTATGCGGGAGTATGGCAGTATGGGAGTGTGGGAGTGGGGGTGAGTGGGAGTTGGAGAGGGAGTTGGAGTGGGAGTCGGAGTCGGGGTAGGAGGCGGAGTCAACATCGTAGCGGCACAATACAAGAAATTGTTTTGTGCCCACCCAATCCTGCCAGCGACCTGTATAGCGACTCACGAGTATTCTCTGGCCACTTGATGAGGTTGAGGTCGAAACCATGCCTGATTTGTATCGGGAGCATATTTTATACGCTCCGCTTTCGCTTGCATGCTGCATGACGCAAGCCACAATGAGAATAAAACCCGAGACCCCGACAGACATAGCATTGCACCCGGAGACAACAAACGATCCGTTTCATAATCGTAGATCTTGCTGTTCGTTGTCAACCTGAGCAATACAGAATCAGACGACGACCAGCAACAGCAGCACTGTCAACACCATCACCACAGCAACACCCAGAATAACTTGTTGTGCAAAGACTACGATATCCATCTAATCTTGTGTTCAGGAGCGTCGGACTCATGGAATCTGTACGGAAAGCCTTTCGAGACATGCTCTTTGCAACATCTGCAACTAAAGTTGTCCATGTCGGATCCTTAGATGATGAAGGTGGCCTCATTTGAAAATCACAACGTTCCATAAACTAAAATATAAATGCAATTATCTATCACTGCTGACAGTGATGGCTGGGTTGATTGCTGATGCCAAGACTCTGCTTTGGTGGCCATATGCCAAATCAAATCCAAGCGGAGAATCTCCCGCATGGACAAGCCCTTTCTCCAGGCGTCCCCATACCGTTCCAAGCATCGGGTGGAGTACACACGGCCTTGGTCTGGCGGCACTCCGATGTCCTGCAACCTTGCGGCGAACCACTCATGATCGGCATCGTCTCCCGCTTTCACCTGGGAGACAAGATGATTTCACCCACGCTGGTCAGGAATGGGAGAGTGCATCGTAGAATCCGCCAGCACACGAACCAATTGCACTCTTTCTTGCATGGCGTCTTGCTTGCTGTTTTCGCGAGCCTCGAGTCAAGCCGCACACGCTGGGATACCCCATCAACCTTGTATGCACGTCTTGATCGAGATCGCACATGCGAACGGAATTTTGAGCATGAAAGGCCGTCTGTGCTTGACACAGTTCCGCTGCACGAGTGCATCAAGATTCTGTACAGTGAAAACAGGGAACCAGAAATATAGAATCATCACTAGTGCTACCTTACCGTGCCGATGATTTGAAGCGCCCGGTATAATGATATTGATATTACTATACAGGACTGACATGATATGAAACATTACAAAAATATTCTGGATGAGTCGACGCACAACGTGTGCAGCCTAGTTTCTGTGTCTTGGCCAATGCTCTTAGGAAAAGGTTCGATTCAGCATTCTTTGACATGTTGGCGATCAGACCATGTATGCTGATCGCAAAACTCCGGCCTTAGGTCGGAGGAACTTCTGAAACCTCAGCTCGTGGCTGAGCGTGCCTTCAAATCCTTCACAAGCTTCTCTGCCTGGGCCATCTGACTGGGAAAGTCCTTCTTGTTCAGCTTGAGCTCTTTGCGAGCGAATTTCTCAATCTCGGCCCCATCTGCAATTGCCTGTTGCTTCATCTGCTCATCCCCACCCTCAAGGTCTCGGAGCAAGAGTTGGTGGCACATGGCAGCCACCATGGATTGCTGAAACTGGAACATATCCGGTGGGATCGCAAGAACTTGGCGTAGGGCCGCGAAGCTTTCCTTCCCGGTGGTCAGAACCTTGATAAGGTCAGCCTCCCACTGCAAGAGTGCATGAGCCATATCTTGCGCATCCTTAACCTCATCCAGTCCTGCAGGTGATCTGTCTATCCAAGGAGTGCAACTGCGCTAAGATCGCAAAAATTGCGTAAATCAACAGTAGTAAGATGTTGGAATAATACCATATCAGATCATATCTTATATAGAAAATAAATTAAATAATTCCCTAAACCGAACCCCTAAACCCTTAGTTTAAACCCTAAACCGCCTAAACCCCCAAACCGAACCCTAAACCGCCTGAACCCCTAAAAATCAAACCCCGAGACCCTGAACCCGAAGACCCTATGACCCCGGGCCTTGGATATGCAGCTCCATGACCTCAGACTTGTCGTCGAGGAAAGCAACCTCGGCCTTGACCTTCTGCGAATCCGTTTCGGCGAGCAGCACCTGAAGCTTAGCCCACAGCTCCGCAACATCCGACTTGTGCCGCTGAAGCCGATCCTTGGTGGCATCGATGGCGCCGGCCAACTTCATGATCAGACGCTGCTCCGCGTTCGAAAGCGACGGCAGCTCCAGCTTGTGCACAGCCTTCGCGGTCTGGACATCCAGGAGAGCTGCAACCCCTTGCATCACATGCTCCACCTTGATCCAAACAGTGGGGCTCTCGGAGAGGTAGTCCGCCTGGCCTTGTTGGGGCGACATGTACGCGTGGGCGATGCGTCCCGCGCGCAACTGCTGCTCCACCACGGGACCGAGGGAACTCTTGACGCTGGCATCAAGCTTCAAGAGAGCTTCCAGCTGTCCTTCGGCGATGAGGGATTTGCACCAGGCTGGCGGCAACTTAATGGAATCGGCCGCACGTCCATCCTTCAGGATGGCAACCAAATCTGCAAGGCCGTTGGGAATCGGAACGCTGTTGGACTCGGACTGGCCTGACGTGGGTCCAGGGGGTCTTGTTATTCGAACTTCAATACCCCACGTGACAAATCCAATATGCCAATATCGATGACTGCCTTCAGACCTCTCTACAAACCAACTAAACTGAACTAAGTTAAGCCAAGCTAACTAACCAAACAAATAATTGAGGCAATAATTCTGTCAAATGGCTCTGCGTCACAAAGTCATGCACTACGAGGAGACATTTGCTGCCATTGTACTTGGAAATGGCAGCACTTGCTTTGCAAAAGCTTTCCACAGTCAGGTTTCCATCCGTGTCAGACACAAGCCCACGCAAGCTCAAGAAATCCTTGTATACAGTGGCCAGGCTGTCCACAATTTGCTCCTTCACACCAGACCAAGGATCCACCTGCACATGCCAGGGTACCGACACCTAGCACTACATCACTACGTGAACCAAACCTCCAAAGCCAAGTGCCGACAGCACGCGAAAGAACTAGCCACAAAACCTGGAACCCTCTCCTCAACTTTACACAAGCTCAAAGACACTTACCCGCAACCCGTAAACTCGAACTTTAAACCCAACCTTTAAGGTCGCATAACGACCTATATTATATATATATAGCATATATAAATTATATAATATAGGCATTATATAAGTCTATATAAATACGGTATTTAATATTTCTAAAACCCTACAACCCCACTAAGGCGCTGGCTAGAATTAGAACTTGCGGACACAAACCCAAAACACTTTGGCACAGGTTGAACCCCTAAGCCCGAATGCCAAATCCACTGTGTGACTGAGTGAACGCCTGTCTGAGTCAGTAAGTGAGCACAAGTAAATGAGAGTGACAGTGCGACTGAAAGTGAGAATGAGAGTGAGACTGAGGGTGAGGAGGGGTGAGTCTCGTGAGTGAGTGCCTGGGTACTTGGCTAGGCTGGCCAGACTGCTGAGATTAAACAAAACAGTACTGCATGCAGCAGCAATAGTACTTTGACTAGTCTTTAAGCAATAATTAAGACTAGTGACTAGAAATTAAGCATCATGTAAACATTTACATCATATTGCACACTTTTGTTGAACCCCCGTATTCCTTGAAGGCTTTGGCCATTTTCCAAAGATTCTTGATCATCGTGCCATCGGTGACCTCCCCAGACACCATCTCCGTCTTGAGAACCGAGACGACATGGGGCATGACCAATGGGAGCTGGGCATCCATTGTGATATGCAGCTTCTGCATGGCATCCTTCAACATTTGGACATCACGACTCCTCTCCAGCTCGGCCACGTTTGGCTGATTGCGCAGACGTCTCTCGCACGTCTTGGCAAGGCAACACTGGTCCACATGCTCTGTGTGACACAGCCAACCGCATACGCCCTCAACCTGCTCCGGGGAGTCTGGAATGGCATCGACATCGGGAAGCTTCGCAACCACGCGGCTGCACTCCTCCAGGATGGTCTTGGCCGGGACGTACAGCCTGGCTGCGTTTTCCAATCTGCTCCACATTGTCCTGGGATAGAGTATCAGTATTACTAGTAGTAATAGTAATAATTTTTGTAATAATACTAATCATTTATCATTTATCAATATTGAGTAGCCGAACAGCTAATTACATCTGGGCCGCTTCGCCAATCCCAGCTTCAGCATCGTGGCCAATTTCTGGGAGCACAGCTGCTTTCGCTCGACGACCGCATTTGCCAAGCAATTCTCCAATGCATTGCCGCCACCGTCCTCCTGCTGAGACTCACAACAGCGGAGAGAGACATAGGGGGAGAGAGAGAGAGAGAGAGAGAGAGAGAGAGAGAGAGAGAGAGAGAGAGAGAGAGTGTGTGTGTGTGTAGACTGGACTAGATATCAGATACCTTGACACACAGATCGATCAATGACTATGCAGACGCGGTCAGCACTCGCACAAACACCACGCACGCATGCGCACACAGACCCATGCACACACACCCACACACCCACACCCACACCCACACACCCACACACCCACGCCCACGCCCACGCCCACGCCCACACCCACACCCACACGCACACGCACCCGTCCCAGCACACATGCATGCATGCACGCATTCTCTCTCTCTCTCTCTCTCTCTCTCTCTCTCTCTCTCCCTCTCGCTCTCTTCTCTCCTTTCTCTGTTTCTCTGTCTCTCTCTGTCACATTGAAAATAAACCAATGAACAACCGTTCTGCTACATGCCCACGTGGACCCACTCACATCATCAGAGATACAAACTAACATGACTTGTGAGTTGACACCATGACTGAAGCGATACTTTCTGACCGACTTTTTAACTGAACCAATACATCAGGAATCACAACTCGCAACACGTCGCAGGCAGAAGGCCAGGATAAGTTGCAATCAATTCGATGCCCCTTGCCTCCTTCCACGCGGTGCAAAGGGTTCGCACAACCTGAATGTCAAAGCTCACGCCGGCAGAGTACTGCTGATCGGGCTCCAGCCCCGACTGCACCGGGTCGAAGTCAGCCGGCAACGTTGCAAGGTCCAGCATCGTGGCTGGGAGCCTTGTCTAAACTATAAGACTATAAGTAAATATAAAATTAGACCATAAAATATTTTAGTCTATAAATTGGTAACCGTATGTACATTATGTATACCTTTAGAATACGGTATATACGGTATACTACTGCCCCCGGACCCCGCCCCTCACTGAAACTGAGCCCTAGCTTAAACTCCTCGATTGAAGCGACCCTCCAAGCCCCCAACACCAGCCAAGAACCCAAACCCGATCACGCACGCTAACTCGGCCTGGGAGCCATGCAGCCATGGCCTGAATCTTTCCCTCTGTCCTGTGCTTGAACAGCTTTTCCATCCACATGTGCAGAAGCGAAGCCTGCACCGAGGAGGCTTGGGCAACGGTTCCTCCGGATGCGATGTAGTGGCCCAGGCAAAACCTGGTAGGACACGCCCCAGCTGGTCTCGTCCCACTCGACAGCGACATCAATGAGAAGAATGCGTCGCTGCGCTCTTGCTCCCCCTGCACGTGGGTGAACTTTTTATGGACATCGGGTGAAGATTTCACCAAAAACAGCAAAACAAGCGGTCCTCCAAGTCTTTGAGCAGCGCTTGCGCCAGCCACATGACCAACGTCGCGACCAGGGACGCCTCGGAATTCTGCAGCAGCTGCATCTCTACCTCCTCCAGGTCCCCTGAGAGGAACTGCGATGGCTGCTGTCGCAGGCGCGTGAAAAGCTTGCTGGCGGTGCTGACGTCCAACGACAGCTCGATGATCTGTTGCTGGAGCTCCGAGCTGGTCGGGTCTCCGGTAAGCTTGGAGGCCATGTCGTCCAAAGACTTCACAGTCTGAGAGATCACTCGCTGCTTCGGCTTTGTAGACCACAGCTGCTCCGGCGAGAACCCCTTTTTCTTGGAGTCGTACAGCGCTTGTGCCTTCTTGAATGTCTGATCCTGTGCGTTGCTGCGGGTCGTGGCAGCAAGATTCGGGGCGTTGCTGCGGGTCTTGGCAGCAGGATTCGGGGGGGCAGGGTTCTTCTTCGACTCCCTCTTTGGTTGGATAGGCTGCGGGATATCTGGGTCCACCGCTGCTACGGAAGCAGCGGGATTCAGCTTGGGCGACCGCACATTGGGATTGGGCAAGCTGCCTCCGCCTTCCTTTTTCTTGCCGCGGCCCTGCTTTTTGGCAGCAGGTTTGTCCTTGCTCGAGCCCGCGGCCTCATGTACCCCAAAAGAGGAAAAGTCCATTTCCTCGTCGTCGGATTCGTCCTGGACATGCTCTGAGCACATAGAGGCTGCTTCCGCTGCGGCCTGGACGTCATCGGCCGCAATGACGTGGCCGCGGTACTCGCTCAGCTTGTGATCGAGATCCTCCGCTTTGTTCATCATCTTGGCAAGATCCTGCGTCCTCCGGGACTCACTGGCGTACGCAGCCGCAGCGGCGGACCCCTTGTCGTGCTGCTCTTCCTGCGCGATTTGTCGTTTAGCAAACTTAAAACCAAAACCCAAGACCTTTCAAGTTAGAACAAGACTGAAGATAAAAAGGGCTAGGCTAGGCTAGACTGCTAGACTTACATACACACAAGCCATCCGTCAAATACATTTAGACAGACACGATCCTTCTTCTTGCCCTGGAACTGGCGGGAACCAAGCCTGACTTGCCTGGGCCCTTGAGTCGTGACGATGGAGGGCGTGCCTTGATCATCAACAACATGTGCGCCGAGCTCCTGCAACCACGTGTCTCGTGCAACTACAGACTGAAAACCTACTTGCAACGCACTGCGACCAAATCTTGTTCAACCTGTGCCGCTTCATTAAACATGCAGACAGACAGTAGATGCAATATTGCATGTCAGTAAATACCACAAAATAAAAGTCGTTCGTCTATCACTGATACTGATAACTATGCTGCATGCTGCATGCTGTTGTTCACAGTTCAGAGCCTTACAGCCTGCAACAACATCATCGTATTAGTAAGTGGCACTACTACCATTCGTTGCCAGTAGGCATAATGCTGGATAATCGACAGACAGTACGGCCAGCAGCAGCAAACACAGTAGAGCCACCATGCGACACTCCTGCATAACTGCATAACATAACTTAACCTTTCGCTCCAAAGAAAAATCGGTGTGCCTCCTTCGCAAAGGTCTTCTGCTTGGCTTCGTTGCCGATCTTCTTCAAATCGAACCCCTGGCTCTCCAGCCACTCGCCCACTGGAACAACGGTTCCCACGTTGAAGAACTCAGCAAAGCTCTCTTCCGCAGCGTAGCTACTGATGTTGATTTGCTCATGCTGACGTCGCCGGCCAGTCTTGATACTAGTTGAGTGCACGCTTGTCCTCCCATGCGCTTTTGGCATCCTGCATGGGGGAGCAGCTCAATACACGCGAAACCAAACCACAAACCCGAACCGAATATACGAACGTTCATGCTACACCTGGCAATCAATACCTACACTGCCGGGCCGGTCCGGATTCTTCTCGATGAGGGCATTCAGCTTGAGCTGAGGCATCCCACTGAAGTTGTGATTCCGGGTTGCCTGGCGGGATGATTGATAGTCGCAACATGTCAGATTCTCAACGGTTGGCAGCCAGGGCGCGAGACAGTAGCCGCATTCGTTGCCTTCCTCCCGGTCTCGTAGACCGGTGGCCTGCATTAGCTTTGGTTTCTGTAACAGAAGGTTAAGCACTGTAGCTCAGCCGACCTGTGTGTACACTCATTGGGATCATGGCCTGACGGCCTAGTACAGGCTACAAAATGCACCTATGAAGTTCTGAGGCTGCAGTCCTTGGACACAGGCCCGGCGCCGCATACAAACTAACACGCACTAGCCCTTCACTGTAACTGCAGTAACTTCGAACAAATTTGCCTGGGCAAGGGTATACGGTATACAGACAGTATACAGTATAGCCAGTTTAGCCAGTATAGCACAGTATGACTCTGTATGACGGCACGGGTATGACTCAGGATGACCCGCCTGGTTCTTCTGTTTCTTGGGCCAATACAAGGTGATGTTGTCGGGGTGAAATTGGTCCGGCTGCTTTGCGGTTTGCCCGCACGTTGAACAGACCGGTGGGACCCAACCACCGCAAAACTGCACCTTGCTGGGACGCTCAGCAGATGGCGAGCCGCCTGCCTCGCGTTTGCGACGCCCCGCCGCCGCCACGGGCGCTGGCGGAGGCGGAGGCATCTCTTCCTCCACGTCTGCAAGGGCACTGTCAAGTGTCTCAGACGCCGTGTCAGATGCCATCGTGGATGGCAGGCCGAAAGGACTTCAAGGAAAGTTGCCAAACGCTAACGTTCACGCACAGCTTGCTTGAGAGCAGGCCAAGGTCGCCAGGTGCACTCAGTGCGCAACGATGCATCACGAGATCTCCAACACATGCTACGAATCTGTGAACCCATGTGTATACGACTGTATACAATTAAGTTTATACTGTTTTACTGTTACACTGTGTTATACTACAATTAAAGTTATACAGTTGTACAAGTTATAAAATAAAGTATATCGTTACACCGTATATTGAAAAATGAATATACTATAATATAATAGTAATATAAATCAATATATTTATAATATAAATATAAATTATAAATAACAAAACTGAACACCAGCAGCAGCATTTGTAATTTAGCATTAACTTATGACTCATGACTCTGACTCTGACTGATTCTGTGACATGTGTTTTGTGTGCTGGCAAAATGGGACAGGCAGATAGGCTGATTACTGGAGGCCACCCCACCTCCCCGGGGGGGCAAAAGAGGATGCTGGTTAAGGGCGCTCGGCCGACAGAGGATGCTAGTTAAGGGCGCTCCGTTCGGTTGTGTAGCGGGTTGCTGGGGTGGGTGGGGTGGTGGGGTGGGGTGGGGGGGTGGGGGGGGGGGGTGGGGGGGTGGGGGGGGGGGGGGGTGGGGTGGGGGGGTGGGGGGGGTGGGGGGGGGGGGGGGGTGGGGGGGGGGGGGGGTTGGGGGGTTGGGGGGTGGGGGGGGGGGTGGGGGCGTGGTGGGGGGGTGGGGGGGGGTCTGGGGTCGGGGGGTGGGGGCGCTGGGGTGGGGGGGACCCGGGCTGGCAGGGTGGGGGGTGTGGGGGTGGGGTGGGTGGCCGGAGTGGGGCTTGGGTCGGGGTGGGGGCGGGGCACCAGGCCCAGCACCGGAAACGGCCGGATTTTGCACCGGTCTGGGCCCATTTCGGACCCGTCCGGGACCCGTCGGGAGCTGTCGGGAGCTGTCGGGAACCTGTCGGGAGTTGTCGGGAGCTGTCGGGAGCCCGCACTCCCGCCAGAACCCTCCTGGAATGCTTACAGGGCGTGTTTCTCGGGGTTTCAAGCGGGTGCTGGAGCTGGTGCAGAAAAGTGTCAAAGTTGGACGTCTCCCTGCCCTGCCCCGGACCACCCCCTGCCTCTCCCCCTCAACCTGTCCTCCCCCCCCCCCCCCGGCCCTCTGCCTCCCTGCCTGTCAGCCACATGATACTGGTACTTGATACTTGTTATAGAATATTCAGGTGATGAGGGTCAGTTCGAGTTGTGGAATACAAAAACCTGCAGCACAGTGACCGCAGCAGGTTTGCACCTGTACTTTCCCTCGAACCGGGCAGCACAGTCGACGCAGCCACTGACTGTGGACAAAGGTGACTGATCACAGGAGCTTTGAAATCGCGCCAACAGCACTGCAATCTTGTCCTCAGCACACGACAATGTCACATGACTCAACACGCTCAAAGACCACTGCCACAAACCGATTTTCCAAATGCTGGAGTGAGGTTGTTTGCGAACCTGGACTAATGAGATCGAACACGGGTCTGATCAAAGCAAATGAGCAACCAGTGCAGTTGCATCTGCAACACTGTGATGAAGCATCACGAAATATAGTCTGCTCCGTGTCTGCGCCAAACCAAAATCTCGACTCCTGAAGAAACTCTGTCTATCACATCACATGACTGTCTGGTTCTCTCTCTCTCTCTCTCTCTCTCTCTCTCTCTCTCTGTCGCTCCCCCTCCCCTTTGACCTTCTGCCGGAAGAAACTATCTCTCTTGGGGGTGTGATGGCCGTCCTCATTGTGAAGACTCGTACATGATATCCATCGATGAGAGAAAGTCCGATGGCCTCATCCGGTTGACCTCCACCTCCGTGGAGACGCCCCCGCAAAAGGAAGTCCAGCGGCGTCTGCAACAGGGCTCCCAAGCGCATTGATTCAGACTCTATTCATCAGGGCATGTGACTCCAGGGTAGAGTCGTCAGATGATGATGCAGAGGCGGCATATGAGCACACTTTGGCATCCACATTTTCTCCCCAACTTCTTCTCACTGCGTTTGGTGGCTGCAAAGCTCCACGTGCACAAAACGACGGTTGCCGAGGCACGTAAACTATAAGACTATTTAAATGCCGGAACTTGCCTTGAAAATCCTGATCAATCCATCTCTGAACCTCGCAAAATGAACCACAACCTCATTTAATTTATACTTTAAACCCTCAGCCAAAAAAACTTAACACTCTGGAGCCTCTGAATACGCGGGTGTCTCGAACCCTATCATATGGGCCTGTATCATGTCTGAAACCTGCACGTCTAATATAGCTTTAGCCAGTTTTAGCTAGTACAACCACAACTAACTAACTACTAATTAACTAACTAAGAACTAACTAACTAACTTAACTAACTAACTAACTAACTAACTAACACTTGTCTTCTAACTTCTAACACGACACTGACACTAACTAACAGCAGCACCGAAACTCTAGAGGTGCCTCCTGTAGCAACCGTGTTTTACCTGTCTGTCACTCTGTCCATACTATTCCATGCAGAGACAGGCCGTAAGGTATGCAATGTCGCAGGGCGCCGCAAGCAGCGCGACATGGACACGTCACACACGCTCCCCGAATTCACTGATCTACCGACCGATCTACCCCTCGAGAAATTGTAAAGCTTGTTTACAAGCAGGCTCCAGCAACTCAGATTGCTGAACATCCGGCTTCTTCAAAAGTCGATGCAAAGAATCAATGCACGGCCGAATCAAATCCTTTTGTATCAGTGGCACACATGCCACGTGAATTGATCGAGGAGGCTTGTTGTAGCGGTATGCGAAGCTGAACTTCAAACCCCCTTTGTCAATCTTGCCACCGCAACTCATGCACGTGAGTCCCTTCCGTGGGCTGGGTCCTATATCCAGAAGTCCCAGGGTGCGCTGAAAGACGACACCCGTCGAGCCGGCAACCCTAGCAGCAGAAGCAGCAGCACTGCCAGCATTGGAAGACTTGCTATCCTGCTCAACAGCCTGGCCCTCAGCAGGTTTCGCGCCAGCAGATGACGCGGAAGCAGATGACGCGGAGGCAGGGGCTGCTTCTGCATCCTTGAATGCTGCAGCCTCTGCTTTCAAAGCCTCGGTAAACTCCATGTCAGCTGCCGGAGGCAAGTCTGACTCGAACTCGTCATACCTGCAAGCCGAGCATGTGCCACACACCGCACAAGACTGTGCTGTACTGTACTGTACTGTACTAGACTCTAGACGAGACCAAAACAACGAGAAAATACAGGGACCCCTTGACAAGGACTGTTGAAGCAAGCCCGCCTGGGTCTTTGCGCCGGGCCTGCAGAACTTGAGCTGGAGGGCTGCTCTGCTACTTTGTGGTCAGATGCTTGGGGACCAGCATTTCTCTGCCGTTGGTTACTTCGGGATGATAGGCCAAACGGCAATTTTGCGGTGGCTTTGGTTTTCGCAGCCGCCTGACGCTGGCAACGAAAACCCAACTCGATACTGTGCGTCACCTCGCCAGGCAGCAGCACTGGCTCGCACTCTTCGTGCGAGCAGGAAAACGACTTGTAGATGGCAACCTGACCCCGATTGAAAACCATATCAAGGGCAACAAAAAACACAACATTGAAAGTAAGACTAGGCTTAGGACATCGCAGGAAAGCCCAGAGTATGACTCTAGTCTGTATGACAGTACGACACTTGCCTGCAGACGTAGTTGGGACGCTGTAGCATCGTCTGGGAACTGGGACAGGTAGAAGCGGATGATCGACAGGAACATCTGATGCGATGTCAACAATGCTGGCACAGCGCCTGTCATCGATATAGCCAACCGTCCAGGAGCTCGTGGCCAAAGCCGCGCAAGCACGTGCAGGAGTGGTCGTCTGCAAACACATCCCAGGAAAAACCACTGTGTGTGCTCCGTGTTCTCCTCCCGCAGCTTCAGAACCAGCAGACTCGTGGCCACGTGTTTGCTCTGCAACCCGGTATCGAGCTGATGCACGAGCCGCCCCACCTCGGCAAAGCAAGCTTGCTTTTCGCAGATGCCACCGTGGGCCCATAGACAGCTGCGGCAGAACGTCGGCAGTTTGCCCGGCGGATTCCGCAACATCTCCGCATCGTACCCAAAAGTCTCTCGGCAGCATTCTGCCAGCCCTGCTCTATCGAGATCCCGCACTAGCTCCGGACGCAGCGGCGAATGATGATTCTGCAGCCCGAGCCCACATGTCCACACGTCCTGCTCAGCCAGCTCCTTCACCGTCTTCCCCAAACGCTGCGAGTAAAGTCGCTTGAGCTGGCTGCTAGCCAAGTTTGACGTCTCTGCCACGCTGGAGTCGGAGAATGAAGTTGTTGCCACCGCACGTCGTCTTTGCTCGATCTCGTGTGCCTTGGCCTGCCACTTGGCTTTCTCCAGTGCAGGTAACGCACCCCAGCGCTCGGCAATGGAGGCCCGCCTCTTGCGATTGCTGTCGGTGCCGAGACGACCAGCACCAGCCAGCGTAGATCTGAGATGACAACATGCGACCATGTCTGACATCTGCAAAATCGACAGCAGAATGAATGATAGAAAGTCACCATCTGAACCAAGCGACTTATGATGATGCTGAAAAGCATTGAATGCACTGACTCGTCTCATCCTCTTCTGCTTCTGACAACTTGCACCATTGCACCTCAGGCCCCCCCACACATACTCTCTGTAACCTCAGGAACGAATTTAATTTAAGTATGTCTTTAGTAGTAAAGTACAAGAGAAGTTGCACTACCACACTGCAGCAATGCATTTGAACAAATACACACTTCATTTCAGGATGAAGTTTGGGCCCACTTCGTCCTGGATGACGGTCGCTTGCGTTTCAAAGACAGCTCAGGCCCCGTAGAAGCTTGAGCAGCACCCCTGGCAACTCGCAGAAACCTCTTGCGCTCGGTGCCGAGGCAGTTGACCTGGGAAGCCTTTTGAATAGACTGATGCTCGAGACTAACGCTCATGATGTAGTGATCGAGCTGGCAGGTGGATGGCCTCTTGGTGTTGCTCCGCACGACAGCCTGGTCAACAAGGGCATTGCTGTGAAGTTTCTCCACCTCCACCGAAGAAGCTGGGAGCTCGATGAGAAGATCTCGGACCAACTGCTGGAGTCTGAGGAAGCGAAGCTTGATGCAGTCCTCGTCGTTGTCTTGGAAAACGAAGCGGTAGAAAACCTCTAGGGAAAACTTGCAGTGTGGCAACATAACGAATTCAACAACGTGTGAACGCATGGTCAGCCACATGGAACAATCCTAAATCCTGTAGGATGAGCACACATTTTTGTCCAGCTCATGCGGCAGTAGTTTGGCATCAGCCGCACGCGCCACCGCAACTGCACGCACGCATCCAAAAGCTGACTGGAAGTACTTCTCTTGCTTGCAGCTTTAACTGGCCCAATCAATCTAGAATCTAGACTCTAAACATCATCATCTGTCACAGCAGCTGCAAGCAAATCACAATCGGATTCAGCCGACTTCGGACGGAAGCATGCCCGTCGAGCCACATCGTATCTTCACATCATTCATAGATTCAGGTTCAAAATCATCATATCACAGATCTGCCTTCCCGATCATCAGATCTGCTCACTCTCATGCTGCGCAGGTCACCCGAAACAATTCACAATGGGCGTGCCAGAGCATGTGGCACAGTCACCGTGCAGACAGAAGTAGAGGTGGAGTGGACCACGGCACGGTTGGGCACACTTGTAGCAGCCGTCGAAAGCGTCACAGCAGCCTGGACGTGCAAGTTCATGGTGATGGCGCTGTTTGCACATGCATCAGTTCTTGTCGGCGGCGACGGTGCCGGATCAGAGGGTGCACCAGCCACAAACCCCCTTACAGGCATGGTATGCATTGTCGCCGTAACTGGGTGGACACCGTGTCCGCCACGTCGTGCAGCCACCACTGCATCCCAATGCGAAGATGACTCATCAGAGTCGGAATTGGATCCCGACGGTGCGGACTCACTGCCCTCGCCCTGAAGCGGCTGGGGGCCTCCAGCTGCATCTGCGTCGCCCTGCCCGTCGCTATTGGCTGGCAGTGTGTCTGTAACCACAGTTCGTGAACCCACAGTTGGATCTGCAGGCAGAGTCGCCGACACTACGGTCGGCACAGCAGACAAGGCATGGGGATTTCCTGCAACTACCGAAGCTGTAGCACTGCGACCTGTAGAAGTAGAAACAATCACCACATCAGAATCATCGGATTCTGTCGCATCGAGAACAAGAGGACATGGGCGCTTCTCGGAAGGCATTGCACTAACTCGAGAAGAAAGGCCAAACAAAGTTCACAGCAAGTCTCGAGCCTGCCAAAACACAGATTGCGGACTGCAGGATGTATCTACTTTGACTCAGACCATGCAATGTTTGGGTGAGATTGATAGAGTCAAACACAACCTTGGCAACTATCAACACACAGCATAAGCACCCTCCATGCCAGTCGAGCCACCTGGAAGAACAGGCGGTCTTGGCAGGCTGAGCAATTGCCAGCATCGATACGAAGACGCTTCAGACAATCAATGCCATCATCGGTGCCCATTGTTGCAACTCTCAGGCACTGCCACGGCAGCCCAGCATAAGCCAAATGAAGCCGGCGCCAGGAATCACACATCCCCATCAAAAGCAACGGTGCGCACTCGCGGTAACACAACTGCAATTCTCCATGCCACACCTCTCCGTCAGGATCTGCTCTCAAGAATTGCATGAAATCTGCACAAACTTGCAGGCCTCGGTCACCGGTGAGAATGGCGAGGTTGAGTCGCACAAGGCTTTCAGGATTTCGGTCACACTTTGACGTGTCCAGCAGAATGCCCAGGCGAAGCAGCCGCATGCGCAACCGAAGTGTCTCAGCCAATGACACTTCGTCCATATACGTTCTCAGTGGTTTGACCAGTAGCACGACTTTCGCGAAATTGGCCTGTGAGCAGTCCGTTTGACAGATTCGGAGAGTTCAAGTAGCTAACTTGGCTAACTGCTAACTGAACAGGAAAAGTAAACAGCACAAATAAAAGTGTCAAGTTACCACTGCGTCTGGGCCCGATAGCAGTTGCAGCACCTTCGTGGCCCTGACCTTCTGCTTCTCAGACGGTGATAAGTCTGCATTATCTTCGTCGTAATTCAAAAGTTCCTGCGCCGGCTCGGAATATGGGTCGGATTGCTCACTAAGTGAAAGTCGCCATGCATGCTCCAAGAGCCCGTGAATCAGCATCGCTCGCAAGCAGAACTCTGCAGCTGGCTGCACATGCTTCCATCTATACAACAGAGGCACTTCAAAGCCTTGCAAAAGCAGCAGCTCAAGACAACGTTTGACCTTCGAACGAGTTTCCTTCACGTCCCGGCAGCACCCCGCTTCGCACCAATGCGTGAGGCGACCATTCATTTTTGATAGAGGGAGGCTCCAACATTCATTCAGTGTCGTCAACACCAAACTGATGTCCTCTTCCGTCATGTAACTTTGACAAGAAGCCAACTTGCGAGAGTTGCGAGCTATGCAAGCCGTGATGCGCTGTGGCAGCGCAGCCACTGTATAGACTTGCACAGTCGAAGCCAAGTTTCCGATGATGGCCGCCATACGTCGAGAATGTAAAGCACTCTTCATGGAATGCCCCATACGGACCATGCCTGTATCATGTATCTGACTCTGACAATAAACTCGACACCATTTCAACAAAGCAAATCAACAACCTAGACCCCCCCTTCCCCAAACAACGCACCCCATCTACATTGCCTGTAGCGACGTTGGGAATGGACAACACGATCGGCTTCGAAGCCAAGTTTCCCTGGTGGTGCGTGCAGAATGTGTACAAGTAGCCGCGGTGCACGGAGGCATCGGACATCTGGGTCAAGGCCTTCTGCTGCTCAAGCGCATTGACGGCAATATTCGTTGGCAGGGAGTCCGTGCCTCAAACAAAGAAGGCTTCCCGGGGCAGTTCATCAGGAAAATGGGTTGGGATTTGTGCAATCCGAAGTGTTCACGAGTGAGGGCCCCACAGGAAAAGATAACCTGCAAAGGGATGGTTGTCAGTACGGCAGCCAGTTCATCGCCCCCGGCAAAGGCTGCACAACCTTCGACTCCACAAAGAGCGAAACGATGGAGTCGATTGTACAACGTCGCAGCATTGGCCTGCGCACACCACAAAGCAACACAGGGTGGTGGCTGAGAGATTTTTTGCAACGTGTAACAATGTAACATCATGCACCACTGCAGAAACACGGCACCTTGGGGAGAACTTGTCCCGGGGAGTGAACTTGAACTGTTCGTAAAAACTTGAAAGCATCCTCCCCCTCTCTGCGCACAGACAAACGTTGCATCAACGCCATTAATTGGTGACACTTTCTGCCCTTCTTGCCCATGCCACGTCGACCAGCTTGTTCCTCAGCTTCCTTGTCGTTGCCCTCTTCATTTTGCTGGGTCAGCCAAAGGTTGGTATCATCTGACACCCTGCTGCATATCATATGTTGGAGGGGAGCAGCACGCAACCATGCCAGCAAGCCCTCTTTCTGCGCATGGAAGTGGCTGATCGCCGCTAACTGACGAAGTCGATCGCGACTTTGGTGTTGCTCAGACTGTTGTTGGAAAGGAATTATTTGATCGCCCGCGACAATATGGGAGAAGAAATCCCTGCACAGTTTCAGGAGGCCAAGTTAAAACGAATAATTATCGAAATTATTATCAACCGTTCAAGTCTGCTATTTGCTGCTAGAGGACGCCTTCCTGCCAGCTGCGCTGCGACTTCCCCGACTCCAGGCAGAGAACCCCACAGATACGACACGATGTCTCCAATCATCAGCAACAGTTGCAAAACCTTCCTCACACCTGGCTTTCTTGCGAGCCAGTGCTTGGGCAACGATCGCTCCATGAGCTTTGCCTCGGGACCTAAACCAGCTTCGCAGGCCAGGATGTGCATCAGACTCAGCAGCAACCAGCTGACGGACATCAGAATCTACAGAGCCACTGTCCAAAGAGCCATTTGAGGATCCTTTGGCAAGCTGATTGCCGAAGCCAGACGCCTTGACCTTCTTGGCCTTGTTCAAAGCCAACAAGCGAGCGAACATGCTGACCCCTCGCAGACTCGCGCGCCTATTAGCTGTTTCGATTGAGCTAGACAAATTAGAAGTTCTAACATGATACAATGATGTGATATAATGTATAATATAATGATATAATGACATATTATATTTTTCTACCATTGCACATGTCCTAAAACTCCAAAGGCCAAACTAGCGCTACCTAAAGCCTGACCGCAACCCCACCAGCACAGCATCACTGCACTGCGCTGCGTCATCTGCTTTGGGCCAGAATGTCCCTCACTCATGTCAAGTCCAGCTAGCGCAACTGACCATACACAAGAAAGCGTTTCAGCTGAGTCAGCACATTGGCCTGGAAGGCGGCATCTGGAGACGTATACCGGGACTTCCGAGTGCATCCAGATACATTTTCGAGAATAGCTATCCTGCAAGAAATGAAAGTTCACGGTGAAATCCACTGGTGTTTCAAGGCGGACAAGAGGCTTGGGCTGATAGATCCGAATATATCGGGATGCTTCGGTGAACGGCAAGATTCGAGCGGCCTCAGCTACACACCCCGCGCAACAAAAATAGCAACCTAGAATATCATGGACTTTGCCTATACAGCCAAAAGGTTGCCAAGAAGGCCTAGAAGCGTTTGCCGCAGTAGAAAACATCAACTCAATGTCCGATGACATGGCATCAAAGCGCCCATGACGCTCTTGAGAGAACAACTTGCAAACGAACCCTGCAATGAATATATCCTCCGGCTGGTGCTCCTGGCATATCTTGCGTAAAGAACTCATGACTCAAAAACTCAGGTGTCAATTGAACTCATGCCGGCATTGCAGAGCTGCCCGGACACGGGGGAGCAGGGCAGAAAGCCCTGTGGACCGCGCACATACCACCAGTCCTGGAATCGAGGCTTTCCCAGTCGGCACGCATTGCAAGCATGCCAGGTCACCCGAGGTCCTTGCATAGCTGATATTGTGGTAGCAGTGATGCACCCGATGATTGTTGAGAAACCACTGTCGGGTGGGCTCCTGTAGAATGCACAGGCATACTGACAGGCAAATGACCACGACATCAGGAGGATTGCTCATAAGAACTCATTTGCATGTCAAGAGTCGTGTGATTCTGATGCAATGTGCTCGCAGAACGACCCTTCCCCGAGCAGGGATTGCAAAGCAAAGGACGGTGCCCCCGATCCGGAACAGGCACTGGAGATCACCTGACAAATTTGCCACATGGCTAGAAGACGAAGGCACGTGATAATTTGTTATTGCAACATTGCTCCTCATTTCGATATTTAACCTTTTTCTATGCTATTAGATCATTAGCATCATATCGTTTGGTCTGCTGATTCATGGAAGTGGCCAAAGGGTCCGTAAGCTTGCTCCTCCACGACTCCAGATCGCCTCCTGCTGCCTGTAAGAAAAGCTCGGGCCAGTCGAAGCCTCCAGAACTCACCCGACTTCTGCTGCGAGATCTTGACGCAATCCTTCTCGCCGCACATCGACAATGTGACGTTATGTGAAATCCACAAACGATAGGATCAACACCAATGCATCGCTGCATCAAATGAAGCCCTCACAGTAATGCTGACAAGGCTCCTGGCATCGGAAGTGACATCAGAAGCAGAAGTAGCCGCACCGCGGCGATACAAGTCGCAGAGAGGCATCAGCACGCTATGATACTATGAATACTATGGGTCTATGACTCCGTGTGGCTCATATATGACACATATAACTCCTATACGGATATTTTATATTCCATCTAGATCGCATGAATCTGACTGATTGCCCGTGCTTGTGGTTGCTTTTGGAGCATTTCGACAGCACTGTTCAAAGCTCCCAAGGCTACGGCCCCAAGTCAGACCAGATCAAGCCCCGCCTCGCGCACCAAAAACACTTGAATCCAGCCCTGCTCTATGCACCATCCAGCCCTTGTTTATGCACCATCATGACATCAAATCACCTCAAATCCTATCTTATCCTGAATTTATCCTACTTTGTCCCCACCTCAAACCCCGAAAACCTCTAGATCTGGCCCCGGAATGCAAAAAGTAGTGTTAAGCATTCCAGGGCCTGAACAACTTATGCTCAACCTCTGGTGGGAAGGAGCGTGCAAGGCACCCAAACAAAGGTTCATGGGGTCATGGTTTAGGGTTTAGGGTTTGGGGTTTAGGGGTGGGAAAGGCGATCTCAGCGCTTTTCGATTTAGTGCGAAGCATTCGCTATGGAATACCCCCTTCCACAATGATCCCTCGACCCTCAATTGTGTATTTGACTACTTAACTCTGAAGACTATACACCCGCACCCTACCACCCTCGAGCAAAGACCCTTCAATCGGAAACCCGCGGATCCAAACCCGAAAGCTCTAAAAGCCAAACTTGAAAACCCTAAGCCCTATCACTAACCCTCGTTCAGGTTCAGTGCTTAGGCTTACGGGCAACACGAACCCTTCATCCACAGACGTGAAAACCCTCCTGTCGAGTTGTTGAGTCTTCTGCCGTTGTAAGCCCTCAGGCGCCACACACAACACAGCCTTCGATTCCGGGTCAGTCAGACAGAGGTGTCTGCAGGGTTTAGGGTTTAGGGGTTTAGGGTTTAGGGGTTTAGGGTTTAGGGGTTTAGGGTTTGGGGTTTAACAGAAGGCACCCTTAACCCTAAATGCTGCCTTAACCCTGAATAGCCTTCCTTTTTAGGGTTCCTAATTATGACTTTCCTTTGTAAGTCCTTCATAAGTAGGTCGGTTATTCCGGGTTCAGGTAAAGCCTAGAATCCGAAAGCCTCGACCCCAATCCCTAAATCCTGTCCTCAACCCTAAATTCTAAACCCTACGCCGGCTCCCAGTGTCATGGCTTCTAGGTGGGGCTTTCAAAGCGTTTGAAAAATATTAGTAAATAAGATCCTCTTAAGCCCAATAAGGGAAAATATAAAATGTCCCAAAGCCCTACCTAGGCTTGGGAGGGTGTTGGCCCGAGTGTAGGCTTTAAAAACATTGGGTCGCGAGTTGCAGGCTCTACCCGAACCCTAACCCCAAGCCCTAAACCAAAGATTATGTTATGCCGTTACCCTACGGCTCAAATAGCCCAAAGCCTTACCTGGGTTGTAGTTTTGGGGCTCTGAAAAGTATTTATGAATAGGTACCTCTATAAGAACCATAAGGGAAATTAAAAAGTTTCCCAAATTGCCACCTAGTTACATAACATGGTCTTTTAGCCCAAAAGCCAAGAAAAGGGTTTCAGGGCTTAGGGCTTTAAAGGGTTAGGGCGTTTAGGGTTTAGGCTTACAGCGTCTAGCGTTTAGGGTTAAGGGTTTAGGATTTAGCTATAGGGCTTTAGGGTTTAGGGTTTATAGGGTTCAAGCTTGAGGGTTCGTAGGGGTTTAGGGTTTAGGGCCAGAATTACAGTATGACTTGCCGCTGACACCTCCGTCTTCGCGCCGCAACCACAACTGAGGCCCTCCGCCCTAAATACTACACCCCAAAACGGAACCGAGACGAGAATCTAATCTTGTGATGTGCTGCGTCCCCAGATTCAAAACCAGTTCCAGACCTTGGCTTAAACCCGAATACCTTTACCTTTTCGCTTGGACGTCGGATCTGCCAGACCGTGCCAATCCCTTCCTGCGCAATACTGCTGTAAGGCTTCTTGAAGGACCTATATGCAGGACGTATACTCAGCCTGTGAAACCGCACACAAAAGACACCGGCTCACACGTCACAATCGTAATGCGGACAACCCAAGCACCATAAATGCCTCCCTTCCGACATCTTGAATTCCAGGCAGCATCGTTCAGCACCGAACCAGGGTTTCCTGTACGACTAACTAGATTCTCTACATGTCCTCTAATACTAAGAGGCACTTTGAACTGTAGGTTGCAAGGTCTATCTTTTCGCTTACTTCTTATATGGGTGGTTGTCAAAATCATGGTCCCTATTTGGGTCCCTATTATAATACGGCACCTATTATTTAGGGTACCCAAAAAAGGACCATGATTTTGACAACCACCCATATCTATCTGCATCATCTGCTCTTCGGCGACAGGCGGCCCTGCCGTCTACACGAGTCTTTCGTCTATACCCATATCCTCAGAAGCCTAAACCCTCACCTTAAACATCCCCTACTCATGATAAACCTAGACCGCCCAACTACCCGCTGATATAATTACCCCAAATACGCACTATTAAGGGCCATAAGGACTCTATTATAGGGCCCTTGGGGGTCTTGGATGATAAAACCATACCCCAAGTGTCCAAGCACCCAATCCTAACCTACATAACTACTACCCTCAAACCGAGTACCCAACTATTGGGTCCTTTGGACCCTTGGGGATACAGGAGCTCTTCTAGGTGGGGCTTTTAGAGCCTTTGAAAAATATTAGTAAATAAGATACTCTTAAGCCCAATAAGGGAAAATATAAAATGTCCCAAAGCCCTACCTAGTCTTTGCGGAGGATCCCTCAGTTGATAGTCTCGGTCACTTCTTGACGGGCTCGTCGGAAAGCAGCGCAAAGCAAAGCATCCACATCCAGGTTGTCGAGGTCGTTCCCCTCCCTGGGTTTCAAGGCTTTAGGGGTTTAGGATAGAAGCTGCCCCCACCCTGTAATAGTGATATAATAGGAATATAATAGGGCCCTACTATAATCCTTATAGTCACTATTACAGGGTGGGGGCAGCTTGTAAGGTTTAGGGTTTAGGGCTGGAGGGGTTTTGGGTCCAGGGGTTTGGGGTTTAAGGTTCAGGCTCCCCTCCCCGAGCAGCAGTTGTAAGTTGTAGCGTTATCTGGGGTCCAGGTAGGGCAGATAAGTTACCCTAAACCATAAACCCTAACCCCTAAACCCTAAACCCTGAACTCTAAATCCTAAACCCTAAACTCTAAACCCTAAACCCTAAACCTGGCAGATAAGAGTCTGGGGATGGATCGGCTCAAGGTTCAGGGGGGATGAGGGTTCAGGGGGGATTATAGGGCTTAGGGGATTGGTAGGGGTTTATCGGGGGTTAGGTTTTAGGGTTGTCGGACATCAGGGTTACCGTAAACCCT